GTGGAGAGCAGAGAGCAGAGAGCAGACCGTGGGGAGCAGGGAGCAGAGAGCAGGCCGTGGGGAGCAGGGAGCAGAGAGCAGGCCGTGGGGAGCAGGGAGCAGAGAGCAGAGAGCAGGCCGTGGGGAGCAGAGAGCAGAGAGCAGGCCGTGGGGAGCAGGGAGCAGAGAGCAGGCCGTGGGGAGCAGGGAGCAGGCCGTGGGGAGCAGGGAGCAGAGAGCAGGCCGTGGGGAGCAGGGAGCAGAGAGCAGGCCGTGGGGAGCAGGGAGCAGGTCGTGGGGAGCAGGGAGCAGGGAGCAGGCCGTGGGGAGCAGGGAGCATGCTGTGGGGAGCAGGGAGCAGAGAGTAGGGAGCAGGCTGCGGGGTGCGGGGAACAACTTAAATGTATAAAAACTGTAAATGGCTCTTTGACAGAAACCAGATAATACCACAGTAGCACAGATATATTTCTGGTCCACCTTTAAACATGAACACAATATCTAAATACTTATTTTTATGTTCGTGCGAAGGTCACTGAGACGAGCCGCTGCTCGGGGGCCACCAGAGTGGAAGGCAGAGATGAGAGCTTTTCTCAATGTCGAGAGACCCACTGAGCCCACGGCCCAAATCACATCTGGGGCCGCGGGGGTGCTGGGCTGCAGGAGCGTACACACACCCCCTGCCCCCCCATAGGCGCAACTGTGAAAATTCAAGGCGACCTCCAGCTGTCAGCTTAAGACAGGAACCGCCACTGTGGGCAATGCTCTGCCATGGTTTGGCAGGACGCAGTCCAGGTAACGCTCTGCCATGGTTTGGCAGGACGCAGTCCAGGTAACGCTCTGCCGTGGTTTGGCAGGACGCAGTCCAGGTAACGCTCTGCCGTGATTTGGGGGGAAGCGGTCCGGGCGACGCTCTGCCGTAGTTTGGTGGGACGTGGTCCGGGCAACGCACTGCCATAATTTGGCAGGATGCACTCTGGGTGATGCTGCATCGTGATTTGGCAGGTAGCGGTCCGGGCAACACTTCGCTGTAGTTTGGCAGGACACAGTCCGGGTGACATTTTGCCATAGATTGGCAGGATGCGGTCTGCATGACACTCAACCCTGGTTTGGCAGGACACGGTCCTGGAGACACACCGCCGTAATTTGGCGGGACATGGTCCAGGTGACACTCTGTCGTGGTTCGCCGGGATACAGTCTGCATGACACTCCGCCCTGGTTTGGCAGGACACAGTCCGAGCGACGCTCTGCTGAAAGTTAGCAGGATGTGGTCTGGCCGACACTCTGCCAGTTTGGCGGTACACGGTCCGGACGACATTGCTGTGGTTTGGCAGGATGCAGTCCAGGCAAAACTCTGCCGTAGTTTGGTGGGACGTGTTCCAGGCAACACTCCGCCGTGGTCTGGCGGGATGCAGCCCGGGGAGACACCCAGCCGTGGTCTGGAAGGACACGGTCTAGATGACACTCTGCCGTGATTTGCCGGGACATGGTAACTAATGAGTAGCTAATTTAAGAGAAGACTGCCAATGTGAGGAGGAGTGGTGGCTCAGACTAGCCATCTCGGAAAATCTAGACGCCCTCCTCCTCCCGCACTATCAAGGACTTTCTATCCCAGAGGAGCTGATGGGGGCGCTGCGCTGCTGATGCATGATGGTGTGACAGGACAGCTGCCACGCGGAATAGGAGGCTTTCCTGGACCAGGTGCTCAGGGCAGAGGCTTCTCGCAATGCCTGGGATCACTGCGCTTTCCCTCTTTTCTCCTCTAATTGAAAATCATGTAAAAGGTCAGGAGCGTGCTCCCCTCCCCCCCTGGTTGATCTGCATTCACAGGCACTGTCAGAGGCACACCAGTGAGGCGGCCAGTGGGATCCGCACAGAGAGAGTAAGGCTAAAGTGAACTGAAAGGGCTCCCATGGACGGGCGCCAAGCCACCAACAGGGGGCGCTAGTTCCTGCCGACTCCTACACCCACACACAGTCTCAAAAAATGTGTCTAATCTGATCACAAATAATGACAAATAAAAACTTCTATATAGATTTTCTATCTTTGCGTATGGAACCATAAAATAATACTTGAAAACTATGATGCTGGACCCAAACTTGGGCTGTTAATCTACTGTATAGTCTGACAGTTTATAAATGCTTGCATCCAGAAAATACATCTACTTCTAACCTGTGAAAAACCTGAGACTGTAAGATGTGAATAAACGACTGACTTGGAAGAGTGAAATCTCAATTTTACCATTAAGTTATTAAAAAACAATCATACCCATGAAAGCATTTTGGTTCTTTTCCCGCACATTTTAAACGTGTTAAAACATGAACACTTACGTCTTTCACACAGCCTGCAACAGACCTCATGTAGCTGGTCAGGGTCTCCTTGGTGCTGAGAGGGAAGTGACACAGTTATACCAGGAGGTTTGTGTGCACACACACAGACACACACAGACACACACAGACACACACATGCATACACACACCGTCAAATCCACAGAACAGACACCAACACTGACCATCAAATTACAGACACCTATACCATCCTGGAGCCAGTGAAGTGGCACTTTAGTGAATAAAAACAGTAAGAGCTAATGGAGAGTGAGTCTGAAACATGTAGTGCAGATTATGATTTATTAAATTTGTCTCTGTGCTACATCGCACTCATCAGTAGCTATTCCCAGGAGCGCGCAGTGTCATCATTCTGCCAGTTTTTACTGCCTGAACCCATGTTGCTGTCCACTGGACACCTGACCTGAAAACGACAGGCCGCTGCATAACAAGCGTTGGTCACATGCCACGTGTCCTCGCCCTGCGTTCCCCCGACCCCGGCATGCCAGCTCACCGGGCTGCCGCCCGCAAGCCCCTCTCCGCATGCTGCACGCCTCGCTCCAGCTCCAGCTTGTCTTGCTGCAATTGGGAGACGCTCTTGCTGAGCTGACGTAGGGCCTGATCTTTCCTCTGCAGCTCTGCCTTGGCCTCCGATAGGCTCTGGGGGGGGGGAGAGGAGGGTCATCAGCTTTCAGTTAAACTGCAACCGAACATATCTACTGATCACTGTAAGACTGGCACTGCTCAGCATCTGCCATAAGGAATTTACAGAGGACATTCCCAAAACACTCATCAGGCAAGTGATCAGACTGGTATCAACAGACGTGTTAAGCTCTGCCAGAATTAACAGAAAAACACAAACAAAAACAGCTTAACACCAGAACGTGCTACGCTGGGAGATGGCCGTACGTGAGATTCCCCCCCACACGCGCACACACACACACATTCGTATTCATAACTTCCTGGGGACCGTCCATTCATTCCTATGGAAAAAACCCTAATCCCAACAATGACAACCTTAACCCCTACCCAGCCCTAAGCTTAACCATAAGCAACCAAACAAAATACAAGACTTTTGGCATTTTTAGTTTTTTAACAACAAATGGCACCACAGAAGTAGTGAGAGAACAGTTTCTCAAATAGGATGTTTACGTTTAAATACAATGTTACCGTGACAACTGTGATGTCAGAATTCTAAAGGCATGAAATGCGTTAACAGCATTCCACTTCAGAACAAATCAGACACTGAATGAGACATTGAAAAATGGAGTGGTCTTTCTGAGCAGGCAGGGGAAGCGTCAGAAAGGCAGGAGAATGAAGGAGAAAGGAAAACAAAGAAATTCAGGCCAAAGAAGTTTTCCTTTTTCAAAAACACGAAAGGAAAATAACATGAAAAACCAAAAAGTCAAGTGAAGAAAACAGATGAGGACTATGGTGTGGTGGTGGATGAAAAGGATGGACACATGACACTGGTGGAGGAGGAGACAGAACTGAGTAAAGCACCAATGGAGGTGGATATGAATGAGGATCAAAAGGCAAAGGTGAAGGAGTTGGGGACTAAGACTGAGGCAGTGCTGAATGACACAGATGAGACAAAAAAAGGCAATAAAACGGATGGAGGTTAATTTTGGAGAACATTTTAGGTGGAAAAGGCAGTGCAAGAGATGATGCGTGACATGAAGGCAGTGGAAAAAGGAGTGGGGGCATTGGAGGAGGTGACAGAGGATGAGATGAAGACAGCGGTGGTGGAGGCTGAATGTAATGACTTACGTGATACTTTTGCTTATGAAAAAAGCTTTATGAAAATGGAGAGAATGGTGTTATTGTTTGAATGTATTCATCACTTGATGTCAGGAATTTGTCAAATGTCTAACAAAGGACGTTACATGGACATTCCGGCAAATCCAGATTGTGAGGTAACTGAAACATGAGGTTCAACGTGAAACAGAAGATCATATTTGAAACAGGGAATTGACCTTCAGGTCAAGTCAAGGTAAAACACAGGGGGAAAAAAAGATAAGAAGATTTTTTTCCATCTAAAAACATAGACCAACAGACAGCTGTCTTCCAAATGCTAATCCTGGTCAGGATCACCTGCAGCCCAGTCCAGACAGCTCATGCCACAAGTAAGGAATACTCCCTGGATGGGACACCAAGCCATTGCAGGGAACATGCAGATAGACAGATAGATAAATACAGGAGGGCAGGAGCTCTGACCTTAAGGGGGGTGCCTCTCTGAGCAGGAGGGCGGGAACTCTGACCTTCAGGGCATGGCCTCTCCGAGCAGGAGGGCGGGAGCTCTGACCTTCAGGGCATGGCCTCTCCGAGCAGGAGGGCGGGAGCTCTGACCTTCAGGGCATGGCCTCTCCGAGCAGGAGGGCGGGAGCTCTGACCTTCGGGGCATGGCCTCTCCACCCTTCCTGAGTCGCATAAATCTACATAGCAAGTCAACCAGGGTTTTCCCCCGAGGAGGATACCGAAAAGCCCCAGCAGAATCCTTGCCTGAGAGACACCCGTGATGGCTGGTACCACCGTTGGGGCTTTCATGAGGATCCTTCATAGATGCCCGGGGCCTCTGTGTAGTAGCTAACTCTGAGGCTGCGCCTACACTGATAAGACTGTGGCAGAGTCTCTGACAGCCCCATGATGCTTACAGAGCAGATGCTCTGCTGATCACGACTAAATTCCTATAAAACATACAAATCTGTGTCCCGAGCAGGCAGAGTACCGTCTGCATGTCCAGAGCAGGCGGAGCGCCGTCTGCCGCCGTCTGCGTGTCCCGAGCAGGCGGAGCGCCGTCTGCCGGCGTCTGCGTGTCCAGAGCAGGCGGAGCGCCGTCTGCCGGCGTCTGCGTGTCCAGAGCAGGCGGAGCGCCGTCTGCCGCCGTCTGCGTGTCCCGAGCAGGCGGAGCGCCGTCTGCCGCCGTCTGCGTGTCCCGAGCAGGCGGAGCACCGTCTGCCGCCGTCTGCGTGTCCCAAGCAGGCAGAGCACTGGCGCTGTCAGTAAAGGGCTCTAATTGAGCCCTGGGTAATTGCTGTAGCACACAGCACTGGGCTCAGAGCTCCGAGGACAGGCTTCAGGCCCGGCACTAATTTCCGAAGCCTGATGCTGGTAAGGGTGTGACGGCCTCACATGGAGGAGCCCTTCAGAGAATAGTACAAATCAACTTTAATAACTCGCCTCCTAATTGTCCTCCCCCCCCCCGACGCTGAAGTCTAATTACGAGCAGAGCTCTGCAGACCGTCACCTGATATTAAGCTGTTGGCGTGGGGTGATGATCGATAAACATTTAGTGTGGAAGAGGGTGAATATCCCACAATGCACTTGGAGGCGGGAGCCGCAGAGGCTGGCTTCTCGCGGGGAGGCCTGCGGTGCCGCGGTGATTGCAGGAGTCCTGTGGGGGGAGCCGGTGCGCGCGATAGGGGAAGGTGAACACGGTCACTCTAATTACAGGCTGCTTCACACATTTCGGCCGTAAGTAAAGATGGACCAATTAGGAGCTAAGATGATAAGAGCAGTTTTATTTGTATACTAATTAAGCCCCCAATGAAATTAAAGGAAAAGCAGAGAGGCCGGAGATTGCAAGGCTGAGAACGGTCCTTTCAGGAGCGCTTATCTGGAAAATGGGGCCTTCGGAGACGGCCCTTAATCCGGCACAGGGGCCCGGGTTTCTCACAGCACCCTCTCAGACTGACGGCGGGCTTATCAGTGCCGCACGGGACGGTGACCACTCCTCGGGGAATCGACGCAGCGGAATAATTAGCGCTCCCGTCCCCCGCGGACGCTGTCTCTAGCCAGCAATAAACATGCTTCTTCTTGTGCTGTGATATTCTTACTCTCTGTCCCGTGTTTCTGTTAACTGGTCCCTTTCATATGCAGACAGCGACCTGCAGATGTTTCTGGGTGAACTAAAAAAAAAAAAAGGGACTGTCAACATACTGCCATTCCAATCTATCCTATTGTGGAATCAGTTACGTTAAAATCCAGTGCAATGGGGTAAATGTTAAGGGTGTTTGTATTTGTGTATGCCTTGGGATTGTCACGCTTTAGTTTTTACATGTATGGTTATGTCTTTGTCGTAAATGAGCCACCCAGGGATGCAATAAGAATTTCAGGCTATGACTTCACAATAAAGCTGTATCGTATTGTATCTTATTGTATCGTGACAGCTCAATCGCGCCATTAGAAAAATCACAACGATGGCCAGAATCACAAGCTGCCATACACAGATATCACTTTATACTTCTGGTAGACAGGTTGCTCCCTTCTGAGGAGATTCAGGTCACGGAAAGGCAGTGTCAGTCTCATAGGCCACAGGACCCAGGCTGGACCAACTTATTCGCAAATTAAGCGAACGAAGTGGGCAGAACCTGAACCGGCATCATTATGCAGCAGCCGTGAAACAGGATACTGTTCAGGCCCTAAATCTACTCAGATCCCCGCCTGGAAACGGGATTCGCGCAGAGCTCAGAGCGATTTACCATGTGAATATGCTTTCAGGCACGCAGATAACGTCCTCAAAAAGCCTCCGCAGCACCGAAAAGGGCCCTAATCCCATGGATTTGACTTTTATGAAAACTTTGTTCTTAAGAGGCCGGTATCAGCGAGTCCCTTTCATCGGCTCATTAGGGGGATCCTCGCAGAAAGCCGCCCCCACCCCCACATCACGCTGAGGGAATCAAAGCAGGGGTCCCCCAGAGCCCTGCCTGGAGGGGGGGGGGGGGCGCCCTAATCCAGGCGTGACGGGGCTGGCCTCATCAGGCATTTCGGGGCTGAATCAAACACGTTCACGGGCTGCTCATAAGCCGGACAATGCCGGGACGGACATTAATCCTGCTACGGACACACCCGATGACAGAAGCAGTTACACGAGCAAACTTTCCACTGGACATTTCAAAGAGAATGCGTGATGTGTTTTTACACACATTTAACACAGACTTCACTGAATTACATCCTGCAGAAAAGCTCTGCTCAACTCAGCTTTGGCCTGAATCGCTGCTGCAGCGGATAACCACCAGGCCTGGAAACACACATGTTTGTGCCGCACCCATTTCACACATGAAGACGTAAATTAACACTGAAAAGACACATCTTCTGATGAGCGGCGGAGTGTGCAGTCTGTGTTGTCTCACAAATGCTGACAGGTGATGCAAGAACCAGCAAGCAGCTTGATAGCATGGGTGAGAGGGGGTGGACATCTGCAGGAATCCTGCTAAACACGGATGGTCCGCCCACTCCACCCACCTCCACTCACCAAGACTGTCCACCACCTTCCGCTCCTCCAGTCCAGACTGACCATCACCTCCCGCTCCTCCAGTCCAGACTGNCCACCACCTTCCGCTCCTCCAGTCCAGACTGACCATCACCTCCCGCTCCTCCAGTCCAGACTGACCATCACCTCCAACTCCTTCCGTCCAGACTGACCATCACCTCCCACCCAGACTGCCCACCACCTCCCGCTCCTCCCGTCCAGACTGCCCACCACCTCCCACTCCTCCCGTCCAGACTGACCATCACCTCCCGCTCCTCCAGTCCAGACTGACCATCACCTCCCACCCAGACTGCCCACCACCTCCCGCTCCTCCCGTCCAGACTGCCCACCACCACCCACCTAGACTGCGCTCCACCTGCCTCCTCCACCAACCAACCCACTTTGACAGCCTCTT